CGTGTATTCTGTAACAAGGACGCCCTTTAATTCTGAGCCCCGCCACGGTGGCGTTGTGAGCTTTTGCTCCCGTCTGCCACGTTCTTGTGCTCGCCTTTGCTCTGTGCTCGCTCTTGGCAATTGGCTGAGCTGTCTGGCAGATCGAGCCATGTCATGGAATTTGATCGCTTGGGCTTCGTGTGCGCGTATGTGTGGCGTGTGGATTGTACGAGTGCGTGAGCGGAGCAGTTGTGCGTGTGTCATTGTGAGTGTGTCTTTGTGTATATGGGGAGCGGTAGTGTAGCGGGTAGCGCGCTGCGCTACGAACCCCGGCGACCCGAGTTTGATTATCGCTCACGGCCAATACCCAGTGACGATTATCTGAAACGGTCCTGGGCCTCCCCTAGGTCGACTCAGCCTCAAATCACCACTAGGGAGACAAAGGCGGCCGGGCGTGGTGCTGGCCACCCAGTCTCTTGTGTACCGTGCCGGTCTTCATAGGTGCTCGCTAACAGCACTTGCCCTTTAAAGTCTGTTAAATGCTATATGGGAGATATTTGTTTTTGTGTGAGCGTGTGTGTTCATGTGTTTGTGCGCACGCATGTTCGTGTGTGCGTGCGTGTGTGTGTGCGTGTATGTGTGCGTGTGTGTGTGTGATCTGCCCTCTGACCATCGACTAGTCATCTGTAAGATGCGCCTGCCATTCTTCCACTCCGGTGGTGGGTGTACACCCAGGACCCCATTCCAACCTAAAGTGGCCTGGTCTCAGTTATCTGATGAAAGTTGCAAGCGAGAATTTCATCATCGCTTGCGGCTGGGATTGGCATCGTCCCCGACTCCTCCTGATGTCGAGGGTAAATGGGCGAGGTTTAGGACTGTGACTCATGCAGCTGCAATGGCTGCTTTGGGTACGCGGTCCAGACCTCCCCAGAGACCCTGGCTGACAGAGGAGGTGTTCAGGATGGTTGAGAAAAAGCGACAGGCCTACTGTCATCGGCTACAGAATCCCACGTCAGAGAATGAGGAGGCTTACCGCAGCGTTCGCTCGGAGGTTCGGAGTGCCGTGAGGCGCTGCAAGGATGGGTGGTGGTCGCGGGTTGCTGAGGAGATGGAGTCGCCCTCAGTGGCTCGTGATCACAAATCTCTATTTAACTCCATCAAAAAAGTAACCTGCAGCGCCACACCTATTACCATCATTAGGGGAAAAAACGGTGATCCAATCTCTGACCCCCAGGAACAGGTTTGCAGATTTGCTGAGCATTTCTGTGAGGTCCTGGGGGAGGGAAAATCCATCAGCCAGGAAAACATCGTGGCACAAAGTGAGGATGACCCTGCTGAGGCTGCGGTGCCTCAAATATTGGAAGAAGTCACCCCCTGTGAATGGCTGGCTGAGGTGCCATCTGTTGAGGAAGTACTGAAGGCAATCCAGAGTCTGAGACCAGGAAAGGCAGCGGGCAGAGATGATCTCCGAAGCGAAATGCTGAGGGAGGGTGGCGTTTGTGCACAGACTGCCCTATATGACATCATAACAACGGTCTGGACCACTGGACGGGTTCCGCAGGATTGGAAGGATGCCCTGGTGGTCCCCCTTTTTAAGAAGGGGGACCGCACAGACTTTAACAACTACAGGGGCATCTCACTCCTCAGTGTGCCGGGAAAGGTCCTGGCAAGGATTATTCAACATCGCCTTGCCAGGCACGCTGAGGAGAGGCTTGCGGAGCCCCAATGCGGTTTCAGGAAAGGGTGGTCCTGCACAGATGCCATATTTTCTGTCCGTCTGCTACAGCAGAGGTGTAGGGAATTCCAACAAGACCTACATCTCTGCTTTATTGACCTGGTCAAGGACTATGATACCATCAGTAGGCCTGGGCTCTGGGTTGGTCTTCGTGCTTTTGGAGTACCTGACCCTCTGCTCACGATCATTAAGGACCTTCATGATGGTGAGCGGGCCCGGGTAAAACTATGTGGTCGGGAGTCAGAGCCATTCCCTGTACACCTTGGGGTGCGACAGGGATGTCCTCTGGCTCCTACATTGTTTAACATCTATTTTGACCACGTAGTTCGTGAAGCCTTCAATAGCTGTACCGGGGGAATCTCCATATGGTACAGATATAATTGGAGGCTGATCGATGCCCAGGTGCGGTCAAGGGATGGCTCCCTATTGCTCAACCACGTTATGTATGCTGATGATTTGGTAATAGCTGCTCATTCAGAGGAGGAGTTGGAGACGCTGCTGCTGAGACTGGAGCGTGCCACTAAGAGGTGGGGCCTTACCATCAGCCCCACCAAAACTAAGCACCTGCCTGGGTATTTTGTACCATCGGACACTCCACCCCCACAACTCCCAATCGGTGATGGGGCAGTTGTGGAGAGAGTGGAGAGTTTCCCATACCTGGGCAGTGTGCTTATGACCGGCTCCAGGTTAACAGCAGAGGTCTCACTCCGAATCAGTCGAGCGGCAATATCTTTTCATTGGTTGCGTAACGCTGTGTGCTCCCTGGTCTGTCGCTCCGCACTAAGCTTCAGGTCTTCTCAGCCACGGTCATTCCCTCCCTTCTCTACGCTTGAGAAACGTGGACCCCCCTAATGGAACATCTTTGCCGGTTATAAACATTTAGGCTGGCCTGCCTACGATCCATCCTGGGTTTAACCAGACTGGATTGTGTGAGGAGCTCACAAATCCTTGAAAGATCTGGGCAAGGTCCCATCGGTGAGCTCCTCCGGCGGGCAAGGCTGCGATGGCTGGGTCATGTAGCCCGCATGCCCAGCCACCGCATGCCGAAACAGCTTTTGTTCGGACGGATTGAGGGGTTAGGCGGGCGCGGTACGGGCTAGAGAAGAGATGGAGTGATGTGGTACAGGAGGACGTGGAGCTGAGTGAACTTGCCGATGACTGGTACCAGCGGTGTCAAGATCGGCCTCTGTGGAGGAGGCTCGTGAAGGACGCTACTGGGCAGTTGGAGGTAGTCGCCCTCCAACAACAACGGAGGGCGGAGGAGCGACGCTCACATCAACGAGCGGAGCGCCGGGTGGCTAAAGCACAGCAGGTTGGCACAGTAGGGGGCACAGGTGGTGCATCAGCCAGTCACCTCAGTCAGTCGACCCGTGGCACCTGGGTCTGCCCCGTGACCTCCTGCCAGCGGGCGTTCGACACTTCACGTGGCCTCAGGGTGCACATAGCCTGGCACAAGCGTCGTAGTGACGTCACCGCCACTTAGTGGCGAATTGCGGTTGTTGTGTGTGTGTGTGCTCGCCTGTTCGTGTGTGTGCGCGCCTGTTCGTGTGTGTGTGCGTGTATGTGTGTGTGCGTTTGAACGTGGCGCCTTCCACTCAGTGAGGGTTCATAGCCTAAAATGGCATGGAGGGGGGGGGACAAATAAAGCCCAGTTGGTTAATTTAGTTCGTCACCAGTGAATTGTACATAAAAACAAACATGTACATTCATACACCAAGACATTTCCCCAAAATAGAAAAAAATCGTTACTTAAATGTAGTTAATGTGCAGTGACAGATTTTTTTTGCTGGCACTGAGTGTTCGTGGGCTCATTGAGATTGTTGAGATTGTTGTGTGTTAGCGTTCTATTTCATCATCTCAACCAGCCACGTTGAATACACTGGTGGGTGAAGGCCTCCCAAAGCCATCAAGCATCTCTTGAGGTTGCGCGATGTGACAAGCCACCAAGCACCTTGCACACGAGACGACTCGATCACTCATTGTCCTTGGTTGCTGTTGTTTCGGATGTGTGTCATTGTAACAAATTCGTGAAATGGAACAATTCACTGGCCTTTCTCGACGCTGTTGGACTAAGAGCCTCTTCATGCTGTGTCAGATCCGGGGGATTGTTTAACCGTGCTTCATCATCATGCTCGTCAGTTGCGGAATGGTGAAGGGGGGAAGCCCCAGGGACTGTTCAAATATCACTCACCGCTGTTGTCAGCCGTAGCTGGATATCAAACTCAGGCGGCCGGGTTCATAGCGCAGCGTACGTAGCAATGCGCCACCGCTCACCTTAATGAACGACCTCATTGCCAATTGATATTTTTAATGAGTGAATATATTGTCTGCTGGAAATTGCTTTCTCCGTGACTTTCCCCTGATAAATTGGTGCAGTGCAGCATAGGACATACATCAGTCAGCACACCACTGCCTGGAATATATTTATTCATTTACTATTGCTCCAATACCATATGTTTTGGCATCACTGCGGTTACAGCACTCGCCCTCACAAGTAGAGAGCTACGAGTTCAATTCCTGCCCTGGGGGTCGAATGAAACTATCATCCTCCTTGGGTTAATAAAAATAAGTACAGTGCCCACTTTGTGAGAAGTCAAATTGGTCCTCGTCTTTTGAATGTGGAATTTGATTTGCTGGCTCAAGGCTGCCAATAGCAATAATAATAATTCCATTTAATTTTAGCGTCATTCATGCAATTGCATCCCACAATGCTGCACATCAATTGATGCTGATTTGTGTGTGCAATAAGAGGTCTGCAGTCCTTCATGTCGGTTTTATCACCATCCGTGAACAGAAGATGAGTTGACAAACACCGCAAATAAACCCATCACAAGCCAAATTTGGGTTTTGTATTTAATTAGGTTAAGTTCCAGCACTGAAAATGCAATGATTATCAATGATAGAATAATGCGATGACCATGCTGCTCCGCACTGCGTGGACCAGAGGTCATTTGAAGTGATCTCAGAACTAAGTCTGTGATATCCACTTCCGTGGGCCATTCTCTAACACGAAGGGTTCCACGACCTCAGAACTAAGTCTGTGATATCCATTTCCGTGGGCCGGTCTGTAACACGAAGGGTTCCACTGCACTGCAAGAGATCCGAATGGATTCTCTCTCTCTCTCTCATAACGTTAACAAGGCAGCACAATCGGGGTACGTACAGCCCTCCGTCATGGGCTTTACAGTTTCCTGCAAAACCTCCTGAATTAAATGCTGGTGCTTTTTAACATCCCTCTATGTTTGTTGACGTCTTGTGTTTGAATTTTCATGCTTGTGCAACCCAGGACTATATTGGCTCACTTAAGGTCTGTGTTGAATTATTGACTTTTCCCCGCTGATTGATTTTGTTGTCGTTAATAAAATATATTCTTCAATACCTCAATTAATATTTGTAGTCGTGTATGCCAAATAAGCATTATTCTCTTCAATATTGGCGTTCACCTTTTGTGATTATTAATTGTTGCCATTGTCGTAACCACTCTGTGCAAGATGTAATTTTATATAAACGTTCACTTATCCGACCTTTTCACTGAGCCGCCTTAACCTCAGTCCCCAGCGAGTCGGATAGGTGACGTATTGTATTGTAAAACATCTATGGCATGAAAAAAAATCATTGTTGGGTTAAACAGCGCTTAATATTTAACAACGATTCCTGAACCTCTGCAATATTTCACCAAATATCTCCGTTTGGAAACCACTTCCAGTTTTGTCTTTGAACCGTTCTCTGCTTAACAAATTAAATCCGCTCCTCGTAGTTTCAGATAGTGTATTTCCAAGGCTGCTAAATGCCAAAGTCCAGGACTCGCACTGACTCAGTGGCCCAGGCTGCTCAGCGGTGGACTCGGTTTGAATAATTCGGCTCACGTTCGCTTAATACGTAACACGCACAAGAACCTTGCTATTTTTTGGCAATATGTGATGGTTCATCATTCTCGTCATCATCAGTCATTCTCTATCATCCACTGCTAGATGAAGGCGTCCCCATGTCGTCACCATCCCTCGTGGTCCGGTGCCGCTAGAACCATCCGTCTCTCTGCTGCATCGTGAACTGATTTCAATGCTCCACCTCCGCAGCGATTGCCCTCTTGGATGTGTTCCCTGCTTTTGGTGCCATTCCTTCCGCAGGCCATCGTCCCACCTAGCGATGCGTCTTGCCCAAGTCCATTCACTATTCATTCATTGTCAATATGTCCCTCACTTGTGCGTGTTCTCTGATGGTGCAAAGTTAATCCGTTTCTCTCACGATTTTCTCACAATGGAATGGCAATATAGAGTGCACGATTGTGAAAGCTACGGTACGGTGTACACTTTACTTGCAGATGGGGTCACACTTTCGCTGACGTACGTGTCATTTTTGTTGCACCGAACCTTTGACAAATGTGTACCCTTATTCGAGTGAATCGTTGCCACGTGTCGCGGAGAGCACGTTGGGCTTGCAATACAGAGGTTTGCCGGTTCAATCTCCGGGCGTGGCGGTTGAAGCAACAGGCAGGTTTCCTAAATCCTAACCCCCCCCCACCACATTTGTCCACCGAGCGGCGTGAAGGGGTACAAAATTGGTTATTCCATCGCCTGGTCGTATGTCGGTGCTCTCATCACTTCCAAGACATCTGAGCGGCAGGAAGAGTCGACCACAATAGACCTGAGAAGGTCTCTCCCGAGCTCCCTTCTCACGGAGTGAGCGCTTTAAGGGCAGCACCTTAACCATTCCCTACGTAGGGCGCCTCTGCTGTGTGAGCAATGTGTGGCCACGTGCTGGTCTCTGTGGTTGTGCGTGCGCGTGCGTGTGAGCTTTTGGACTTCGGGAGCGGCAGCGTAGCGAGGGTCAGCGCGCTGCGCTACGTCACCTGAGTTCGATTCCCCCTCATGGGCAACACTGGTGACGATGATTTGAACCGGTCGACTCAGCCTCTCAAATTAGTACCTGGTGTGGAGTAAACATGAGACTGAGGTGGTCGGACGTGATGCTGGCCACTCACCCTCTCGTGTGCCGTGTCGGCCAATCAGCGAAACCCAGCGCAATAAAGTCAGACAGTGGGTGATTATAGTCTTCATTTCCCATTAAGCAAGATTCAAAATTCATTTTAATTTCATGTCCACACTTCTGGGCTATGGGATTCATGTTACATGTCCATCACATGGCTGACTTGACACTTAATCAGATTGCCACGCCACAAAGTGGAATTCTCAATTCAAAGCCAAAAACGAGCAGCGTTTGATCGGTTTCCACTGCCCTGCCACTTGTACTTTGTGTGCTTACGGTTTACACAAAAGACCGCTTTAACATGAAGAAAAACCCCAAACTGGAATGAGTTCCTTTTTCTTTGGTTCTTTCGGTAAAGTCACGCAGGTATAAAAATAAAACAAAAAATAATATATCACGAAGTTTCGATCGCAACATAAGCGGTCGTCCTCAGGAAAATGCTGGATATTTTTTTTCCACCTGAGGACGACTGCTTGTGTTGCGATCGAAACGTCGTGATCTATTATTATTTTTTGTTTTATTTTTATACCTACGTGACTTTACCGAAAGAAACAAAGACTATGGTTCTCACCCAAGATTTGACGGTGCATGGCCCCGTCCATCGTCCCTTTGATGCAGAGTTGTCCTGTCCCCTTAGCAGAAAAACACCCCCAAAGCATAATGTTTCCACCTTCATGTTTGACGGTGGGGATGGTGTTCTTGGGGTCATAGGCAGCATTCCTCCTCCTCCAAACACGGCGAGTTGAGTTGATGCCAAAGAGCTCCATTTTGCTCTCATCTGACCACAACACTTTCACCCAGTTGTCCTCTGAATCATTCAGATGTTCATTGGCAAACTTCAGACGGGCATGTATATGTGCATTCTTGAGCAGGGGGACCTTGCGGGCGCTGCAGGATTTCAGTCCTTCACGGCGTAGTGTGTTATCAATTGTTTTCTTGGTGACTATGGTCCCAGCTGCCTTGAGATCATTGACAAGATCCTCCCGTGTAGTTCTGGGCTGATTCCTCACCGTTCTCATGATCATTGCAATTCCACGAGGTGAGATCTTGCATGGAGCCCCTGGCCAAGGGAGATTGACAGTTATTTTGTGTTTCTTCCATTTGCGAATAATCGCACCAACTGTTGTCACATTCTCACCAAGCTGCTTGGCAATGGTCTTGTAGCCCATTCCAGCCTTGTGTAGGTCTACAATCTTGTCCCTGACATCCTTGGAGAGCTCTTTGGTCTTGGCCATGGTGGAGAGTTTGGAATCTGATTGATTGCGTCTGTGGACAGGTGTCTTTAATACAGGTAACGAGCTGAGATTAGGAGCACACTCTTAAAGGGAGTGCTCCTAATCTCAGCTTGTTACCTGCATAAAATACACCTGGGAGCCAGAAATCTTTCTGATTGAGAGGGGGTTAAATACTTATTTCCCCCATTAAAATGCTAATCAATTTATAACATTTTTGACATGCGTTTTTTTGGATTTTCTTGTTGTTATTCTGTCTCTCACTGTTCAAATAAACCCACCATTAAAATTATAGACTGATCATTTCTTTGTCAGTGGGCAAACGTACAAAATCAGCAGGGGATCAAATACTTTTATCACTCACTCTATGTGCGGTGCTGAGGAAGAGCATTTGCATGTATCGTGCACTTAAATGTCAAAGTCTCAGCAACTCAAAGTGCCTCAAATCACATCTTAGCCAAATCATTGCGACGCTCTGCAGCAGAGTCTAACCAAAGCTCCCCCTCCGCTACCCACGGGAAGCCGTCCCTGTGCGCCACAGGGCCTGCAAAGTGGGCATGAGTCTGAGGGGCGATGCTCATGTTCGCACTTCACACTGGGTACTCAAGTGAGGCCCGAGCTGATCGAGGGAAGACCGCACGGACACAAAGCAGTTTGAGATGGCACTTGCCACGAGTGTTACGCACAAATGGCCTTTTACAAAGAGCTGCTCGGCTCGATGGGCTTCATACGGGAAATAAACTTCTGATTATGATTCGTCAGGCGCAAGCATCACGAGAGGCTGGATTCTTGCGTTCAAGTTTAAAATCTGAACATGCCATGATGTTTAAGATTAAATCGTTCCTGCTTAAAGCGTATCTACTTCGATAAAAGAAACAGATTCCTCTTAAACCTCCGAGATGAAATGTCAAGGCCTCGCTCTTCCTCCCTTCAAGAAACCTCGATCCGTTTCTTATTTTTCCTCTTTTTCTTGTCCCCTCGCCTCGATCAGTTCTTGAAATGCTGCTGCGGTGTAATGGATAGTGCACCGGACTTGCAATACAGAGGTTGGCAGTGTGACTTGATCTTTCACGGCAGGGCGGTTAAAACAACGGGCAAGTTCCTTAAGAGCCAAACCTGCATCTGTGTCCACCCAGCAGTAAAAATAAACTAAATTAATCGATCAGCCGATAACGTGTGGTGGAGTAAAATATGGGTACTCCCACATCTGAGGTGTTGGCCAAAATCCCCTCTGGAGAAGTTATTGTGAGCTCCCTATATGTATCAATGTTGAACGTTATCCTAAAATTGTATTCATAATGGTTCATCCTTAGGCGAGTAAGGGTGGGTGCCCCTTCCCCCACCCCTCCCCCCCCCCCCAACTGCTGACAGACGGACGGATCTAATATTAAAGTCTTTCAGCCTGAGTTGGAAAGTGTTAATAATAATGCCCCTTACAGAGGGAATCCCCATTGAGTCCTGATATTGCTTTAGGGGAGGGCTCCAGCATCAGGATGTTTGCCCAAATCCATTAACGAGCATTGGGCATGAGCGAGGAAACACGGAGAAAGCCCACCACACACGCACGCAAGTCTACATGTATGTCGAGTTTCTCCCGCACCATACGTAGCCGACGGAGGTGAGGAGGGGGCTGGGAAGGACAACAAACTGAACACCAAACGCAGTTCTCCTGTCCAGCGGTGGGTCATCGCACGGCTGAAACTTCACCAACTCCTCCCTCTTTCTCTCGTCCCCCCCCCCCCCGCGCCGCAAACCCCCACCCTTAATCACCTGGCCCACCCGCCACCTGCTGCACGCGCCGCAGCAGGACAAGGGGGGCATGACGGAGGACGACAAGAGGAACTGCTGCGCTAAGGAGATAAAGGAGACGGAGGAGAAGTACGCGGCGACGCTCGAGAGCATCGAGAAGGTGCCGCTCACTTGGTGGGGGGCAGGGGGGGTTAGGAGGGGTGTGGGGGGGGGGTTGGGGGGGTGCTGTTAGAGCCCCCCCCCCCTCGCTCACACATTCACAACAAGTTGGGACTAGATCTGCTATCATCACCAGAAATGACACAAAGCTCCTGTTTGTGATCCAAGTTGAGTTATTTCCAGGTAGTTTCTCAGCGTTGGAATACTTTGGCCAATGTGGTTCACATTGTGTGCGTTGTTAGCTATGTAAGGAAACCCGAGAACCTGGATGAAACTCGCACAGAACAGGGAGCGAACACAAAAATAAAATAACACGCAGAAAAGCGTCTCGAGTCAAGATTTGAACCCAGCCCCTACTTGCTCTGAGACAACAAGTGTTAAAACTACGCCACGTGTTCCATATTTCATACATACTTTTTTTGATCCTGTGAGGCTGTTTGGACATATTTTCCACAGCGTAGGATTTCTTTCAATTTTTTTTCAAGTGCAGCTGATGACAGCACCCGGTAAGCTTGCGTTTCTGACATTGTCCGTGGTTGCTGCGTCGCTGTGTTCACAGAACTACATGGGCCCACTGCGGTTGACCCTCACCCAGCTAGAAATGGAAACAATATTCATGAACATCGAGGTATTGTTCACTTCGCTCACGATGGATCACATTCTGTCATCTCGTCGGTTAAAGGTCCTTTGATTGTCATGTCTGATGCTCTCAGAAGTTCAGATGATTCACCTTCATTAACCTTGTCGCCCCCGTTATTAATCTCGCACCTCTATGCCTCATTTATTTTAAGCCGCTGACAATTGACGCATTTCACGAGCATCAATTGGGGTGAAATATAATCCCAAATATTGAAGGAAGGCAGCCCCTGACCCAACCCCCCCAGTCCTCTTAATGGTTGACTTAATTGCAACTTGAAATAAAACATGGGTACATAATTAATGACAGACATTCCGATGAATTGAAGTGTAGTTGTCATTTTGTTTTTAATCTATACGTTCACACACACACACACGAGTGCACTTAACACAGACGTTGCGTTTTGCCCAATTTACTTTTGCTTAATCTAACCTGCCCATCCGCCGACCGTGTGGCGGACCCATTGCTACTGCTCGGCGAACGGAGGTTGCCGGCGGGGTAGGCGGATATCACTAAACTTTTCCATTGCTCCGACGACCATGCCAGAAGATCGAACTGGCGGCGTCCGGCTTACAAGTCCGGCGAGTTTAACCACTGCGCCACGGCAGGTGCACGGAGCCGTATCGACTTGTGCCGGCGATGACATTCCCGTTGAATTAAAAGCCTCCTGCGGCGTGTCCCCCGTTTTCCCGCCCCCCCCCCCCCCCCCGCAGGAGCTGCACAGAGTGCACCGCGCGTTCGTGGCCGAAATCCGCCAGTCGTACTCGCTGTCGGGGGGACGGAAATTCCACGAGCTCTTCCTCACCTTCAAGCCCAGGTACAAGGACAATAAAAATAATAACGATGATGATGCTGATGATGATGATTGATAGAGCACCCTTTCCACCGGGGCGTCTCGGAGCGCTCCGCACGACGTCGCACCTCAACGGATTTTGCTGCACCTGCGATTAGCACGGTTGACTACGTACGGTGCGAATGAAGTTTAACGTGCATGCATATTCATGAAAGGGCACCTCCCAGGTGGCATCTGTCAATGCGTGGCATAAGACGACTCGGAGCTCGCTCTTTCATCTCATTATTTTTTTCATATCTCATCTGCAGCTCACTCATTGCTAGCGTCCGTTCGTCTTTCTTTGATCTCACTAAGCTGTCTCTCCCTATGTCCCTGTGAACCGCTCTCTCGGCGACAGGTGAGCCATAGCTCGCCCGGCCACTGTGAGCCACCAGGGCGCCATGGTGGCGAGATGTTAACCACCTCGCCTGGTGTAGAGCAGATCGTGGATTCGATCTCGACCCAGATGCCTGCTATATATTTGGAGTTTGCATGGATTTTTCCCTCCACATTTAGAAACATGCGTTCACGGTGTTTGGTCTGCTGTAAATTTCCACGTGCTGATAAGCCACTTCATTGGGTTATCATTTGTGGTCAGGTCGCGTTTGAAAAAGAGCTATACAGCTCAGGGGGCCTTACGTGATGAAATAAATGTAGTTTATGTAGTATAGTTTAGAGGTTTGAAAGACCCTGTCATCGAGTGGCGATGAGAGTGCTGGAGTATCTTGCATATTACCCAAGAGGGAATGATGAGGGACAGACTTCACAGTGCCAGCAGCGAAAGCACCACTCTTCCCTGTCTAATCTGCAATTTTACATTTTACAGATTTTGTTGACATTACATTGCACTCGTTGCTGTCAGTGTCCGGGTTAAGTTACGACAAACATGTCGCAGTGAAATTTACAGCCACGAAGGGCATCTCATTATGTCGGAAAATGGCCACCAGAAGATGCTGTCTGGGCGTCACTTCAAGAAGCATGTCTCATCCAACCCCGAGCCATTACAACATCATGTAAAATTAAGTCTGTGATAACCAAACGTTAATTTTCGTTTGGAGGGCTCGATTCGTTGTCATCTTCAAGCTACGATTCATCCACTGCTGGATCATGGCACCCCCAGACTGTTGCCTTATGCCGCAGTCTTACGATGCAAAAGTCCATCTAGCTCCTACACACGAGCTAATTCCATTGCCCCATTCTCACAGTCGACGTCCCCTCGAGCGTGTTTTCCCTCCGTTGGCTGCCATTCCATCATGAGCCTTGACCACTGCCCCCATCCTCCAATCGAGTGGCACGATCTGCCAAAGCCCACTGTCTCTTAAAACAGTCATCCCGAGGTCTCTTGTTTGCATGTGTTTCTCGGAATCTGTGCATTTCTCCTCCTGTCCCTGAGCGCAATTTGAAGCGTGAACCCATAGTGCTGTATTATAAAACATGTTTGAAGTTATGGGTTTAATATGTGCGGTCACTGGTGACCGTGAACTGTCTGCACTTGGGAACTTGGCTTCATCATGGGTGCTTGCTAATATTTCAGAATCATAATCCCAGGGTCATGATGGCCATGCTTTGACATGGCCATTATGAGCCTGTTCAAATGCAAAGTGGTGGATTGAGTGTTTAGGTTTTCACCTCTAGAAAATGTGAAATTAGCATTTGAATTGGTTATGCAGAATATCAGCTTATTATCGGAGACCTTTTTTGCGTCCAAGAGTTCCTTGACAATTGTATTTTTTTATCCACTATCATAGCCCGCGGATGTGCACTGAATACAAACTTTCTTATTATTTTTATCCGTATGCCATAGCGATGCTTTGACACGCGGAGCAAAAGCTGAAAAGTGCACAAAGAAGCACACAGAGCGATTCATTTTTGGGATTACATTCATAGACAGACTGACTCGCACGTTTATTTATCACGGAACAAACGCAAGTTACAGACACCATATTGACTGTCAAGAAGGGCTTGGGCAGGACACGACGTTGGAAGGGGTGTGATGGCCGATGGTGGAGACTGATAACGGAATGGCAGCTAAAGAGGGGTGGGAAGACATCCAAGATCAGATTGTGTTCAGGTACCAGACGGATTGTTGCATCGTGGGACCGTGAGAGATGGCTACGGCTTGGGGAGGCCTTCATTCAGCAGTGGATAGATCATGGCGGGTGATTACCTATTTTGTGAGGTCTATTGGTGCCTTGCCTTAGGCTCGTGTTTGGCTGTAAAAACTCCCCCCCCACCTCCCCCCGTGCCAAATGGATCTTGTACAATTCTGATCACTGAGCATTACCTCGTTGGAAATAAAAGCGGGAATAAGAAAATCCCTCGGCGTGCAGCGTGGAACAATAACAAGCCAGAGAGGCCAGGCCATTAAGTGAGGCAGCTCCATTGTCACACTAATGGCCGGACACGCTACGCTCTTTGTAACGTATATATGTACATATGTACGTGTGTACACGCGTGTGTGAGCCATGATTGTTATCTCAGTCTCTGCCCCGAGTTGTAAAAATAGAGCTTTGACAAGCAGTGCGGTCATTCTGTCCATGCTCCTGTGTTGTATACAGTAATGATGTAGTGTTGATTCCGAATGTGCGTAAATTGTGCTACGGTCGCCATAATTGGTTATGCCTGAGGCATTGCGATTCTCCTGAAACACCCTGGCTATATCTATTGCTATTCCTTGCTCTGTACTTCTACGCTCTCACGTCTATGCTCCCCGCCTTCATCCAACCCCCTCTGCCCGACGTTAAGTTTGGACCAAATAACCGACAGGACCGACATGGCACACGGAGGCCCTCGCCTAGGAGTGGATTGACAAAGGGTTGGCAACGTACATTGCTTATTTATGGTAAAGATACGCACGGTTTGTACGTGATTTAGCCAGCGTGGAACATTGACAAACAGATTTGTTTGTTGCAGGCTAAGTTTATTAGTACAGGGGGTAGCCAGTCACAAGGTACCCAGTTAACTTATCCGCTGACACGCTCGGCTGGAAATCCTACCGGTTGCCAGGGGTTGTCGATTTGCTCACCAAAAATGCACTCGCTCAGCGTTCGAAATCAGTGGCCTCTTTTTCGGTGGATTTAAAAAAAAAGTCTCGACGACTATAAAAATGGTTGTCACGTTTACAAAAAAATCAATACCATCCGCGCCGGTTTCTCTATGACATTTAAACCGTTTATGCCATTGACCCTACAATCTCACACACACGGAGATGGAATCAAACAATTCTGTGATAACCCCTGTATTGTTTAGTCAACAGTTGTTGCGACACCTCCAGCGATACGACTGGAGTTGAGGGCTATTCTATGAAACCAATCTCTCTGCAATTATTCTTGGCTGTCTTTTGCATTGCACGGCCTGGCTGATTACCGCGCTTTTGAGTGTCTTATGGCAATTTTTTTTGTGCTGCAGCATTGCAGTTTTGAAGATGCATGATTACTGAAGAGGTCCACTGAGGGGTTCTTGAGGCCTCTCGTTGGAATGTGCAAAACCATTTACAAGTATAGAGATTTATTTTGTAGATTTGTATTTTGTCGATTTTCCCGCACCTCCGATTAGCACGGTTGGCTACATACGGTTACGAAAAAAGTTCAACATACGTGCAATCATCTTCGTTTGAACTTGAGATTGTATTGCTCTGTGGCGTTACTCTAGCTCAGATTACGAATAGTTTATTTTGATGTTGAGGTGGTGGCTGTGTGACTCCCAGGTCAGAGTGATGACGCAAGTACCTGTGGTTCCGAACCTCGTAGCCAGCATTGAGTAAACTGGCCTCAAGTATCATGAATTGATGGTCTCAGGCCGTCACTGTTGACTGCACATAAAAATTCCGTCGTGTTTAATTACATTCGGCACTTTATTTGGTAAAAAATAAATTCCGGCTCTGGGAATGAAAAATGCTGCTGTGACCGATATTTAACAATCCCATTTTGAAAATGTGTGGGAAAATGCGCAGGCCCTTCTGTGTACACACGTACATATAGCACGGTTGGATACGTACTGCGTGAAAGAAGTTTCACATACCACGTGCGCAGTAGAAGATAATAAAGGTTCCTCTTCTCCAGCCGTTGCTCAGCACAAAGATTGCCATGCTCTGTAAGATTTCCAATTAATTATTCGTCTCGTTACACGATAATGATGGTGCAATTAAAATACATTTTTTGAAAAAATGCCGCAAAAATGAATTTAAAAAAATCACTTCTCTGAGGCTTTATTTTTTTTAAGCCACATGAATATTAGAAACATGTTAATTAACAGTGGATATTGTTTATATAATAATTACTTTCAATATCCCCGTCTAAAAAACACATTCTACCTCCATTCACTTGTAAATACACAAATGATGATCATCAGCAGCAGCCATGGTCAATCCACTGCTGGCTGAAGGCCTCCCCAAACAACCGCTGCCATCTCTCACCGCTCTGTGTTGTAACAATCCACCTTGCATCTGCACACCAGCTCAATCGATCAATCGCTCATTATTTTGTCGCCCCCCCCCCCCCCCCCCCGGGTGGGGGGGGGGCGACTGATTTAATCTCGCCATCCCTTCGGTCACGTTCACTTTGTCGGGCACACACTACAAACAAAGATCCCCCATATAGCCTTAACAGACTGTAGGGGCAAGTGCTGTTAGCGAGCACCTATGAAGGCCGGAACGGTACACGAGGGGGTGGGTGGCCAGCACCACGCCCGACCGCCTTTGTCTCCCCAGTGGCAATGTTTACACACCGCAGGTACACATTTGAGGCTGAGTCGACCTAAGGGAGGCCCGGGACCGGTTCAGATAATCGTCACTGGTGTTGGCCGTGAGCGTGTCGCCAGGTTCATAGCGCAGCGTGCTAACCGCTACACTATCGCTCCCCACACACACACGACTACACACACGTACACACACGACTACACACACATACACACACACAGGTACACACACACGAGCACACACACACGAGTACACACACACACGACTACACACACGTACACACACACAC